CAGTTTGTTCTTAGTGTAAAGGCAACCAAGCATAGAGCTAAATGGTGGAGTTGAGCAGGAAGGAACTGGGGCAGAGAGGGGTGGGCAAGATAAGGGGGCTGCCAGTGGGAACAGAACAAGGCAGGGATGTTGCAAAGTGGGTGGAGATAATGGAAAAGGAGCTGCAAAAATCACATTGTTTTTGAGCACATAAGAAATACTCTTGTTGAGAATCATGAGCTGTTATCCAAGGCTCAGCTTCATTCATCTAAAAGGTCACTACTGGGCAAGCCCACTAGAATAGAGAGGGTAGGCAGGAGAGAGAGATTCATTGTAGCCTGTGGTTTCAGGGTCATCACGTGGCCTGGGGACATTGACCCAAAGTGGCCCTTAATTCAGACTGAGGCTCACACTGCATAGGATCACTCAAAGCTAAGTATTCTACATCCCACACCCAGGAAGGCTTCTGTGCTCTTCTGATAAAGTGACTTGCCCGTGTGCCTGTCTTTCTGTGTAGACAGCAGGTGGCCAAGGAGCACTGTGCAAATAGCTGCTGGCACAGAAGTACAGAGCTGTCTGATTGGGGAAGGCGGTCTCTAGTGACAGGGAGAATTTTGCCTGCTCCTTTCGAGAGACACTGTACCCTTTGGAGACCTCTCCTTTGTCAGTACTGTTGACACCAAGGGAATAGTAGATCAACCGTAGCCCCAGTCCTGGGTCTCGTCGATACCAATACATCCTGTCATGATCCTGAGTCTGAGAACATTCCAGCAGAATGCTTTGCCCTGAATTTGCAATTCTATTCCTTGGAGTCTGGGTAACACCAGCATCCGTGGACCCTGTGGGGAAATAAGACAGGAGCTGGAGTCAGAGCCCAGGAAGGGTCCTCTTGCTGCAGTCTCTAGGGAGAAGCTTGATCCAGGACCTGTAAAATTTAAAACAGGTTTTCCCTGTCTGTTTCCCAAACTCACCTGTTCCCAGGAGACAAAAAACCATGCAGCAGAAGAGCATGGAGCCCATGGCAGGGAGAGGCAGGATGGACGTGGTTCCAGCTCTGCGTGTTAGGTGGAGCAGGGCATGGAAACAGACAATTGGAAAGACTCAGGCAGTGACATCATTTCCCTCCCAACTTACTGAGCCTTAGAGAAGGATGAAGTTTTGGCTGACGTACCCTCTCAGCGGATGCTGAAACTCGTCTAGCTCCTGTCTTCTTCCTGCTTGTACACTGAGAACTACCAGAGACTTGTCTCTCTCCTTCTTCTCAGGTTGTAGTTGTTCCATGGAGCATCAGCCTCCTGATAAAACAGGCTATGGAGAAAATTCAGAACCCTTTCAAATGAAGGGAATCTAGTCTCACTGGAATGTTATGATGCTGTGCCTTTTTTTTCCTTCCTGCATTTAATCATTTATTCTCACTCATATTTTGGTAAACTATGCAATTTGAATATATTCTCTATAAATTTTGAGGCCGTTTCTTTCTTTTAGGAAGGGCAGAGTTACTAACTTTCTTCCAAGTTGACCCTGTTCTTTAACGGCTCCAGCTTTTCTGGTCAACGTTCTAGACATAGATCTTTCCTGAAAATATTGACTTATTGCAGGAAGGTGTTCATTTAATGCGGGTCAGTATTTCCAATAAATACTTAATGTCTTCACTCATAATTTGACTCATAAAAGAGGTAATTATATCATAACGTAATTTGTTCCTGATTTCAGGAGGAACGCGTTCACTATTTCAATGCAACAAGCACAGAACAGTGGCAGCAATAGTGCAAAACCTCGTCTGACTGATCTGCAGTTGGTGCTTTGCTGCTGCAGGTCTGTGCTTGCCCTGGCTCTGCACACCACGGCACACCACGGCATCCTGCACTAATCCATCCTGCTGCATCTCAAATTGGTAAAGTCTTCTTTTATAATACTTTTACTTTTTGTTCTAAAAATTTCAAACACATATAAAGTGGACAGAATAATGGGTCTCCGCATTAGCCAGCTGCCAGGATCTCCATTCCTCTCATAGCTACCCAGAAACGACTGTCTGCCGGGCCTTGTGGGGGCTTTGCTTTCTCTTTGCATCTGTTTTTAGTATTTGGCCAAAGACTTAAGGGGACCCCATGCAATGTTTGGAGGTCTTATTTCACACAGCTTCCTTATTGATAGTAGCTTCCTCCACACCAGCCACCTCCTCTGCCCTGAACTCCATCTCTGCCTCCCTACCCCAGCAAGACCACTATGCCCTGCTTGGGTTCCCAATCCTTGTGCCGCAGCCCAGAAATTGCCCCACGGCAGAGGCTTGGGACAGTGGTGGAACTCCTCTTCTATGTTTCCTCCTTCCCAGTGATGATGACCTGTGGTGCCTGTTGCCCTAAACTTTTGGCCAAGTTTTAGCGTGGCTTATGGAAATAGAACAAGTGCAGAAACAACTATCCATTTTGACCTCGAGCCAAATGCCCCTCAAAAAGCATTCTTAAGTTTCTGAATCCACGCTGTCAAACTGACACTATTATAATAAGTGGTTTATAAGAGTAACCCTCTGACTATGCTCTTAATCAAATTGAGCAACATAATTCATTTTTAAGTGTCTCAAACACTTTTTCATTGATATTATTTCTTTTCACATTCATATGAAATTTCTTCCTCTTCATATTTTCTCATTTGCTATTCTATTTTGGTCTGATTTTTTTTTCTTCAGTTGTTATCTTTATGATAAACCCTGATGGTTTTTTGGATGCATTTAACATTTGCTTCCCTAAATTTATTTGTTTCCCTAAATTCCTCGGTAATTTGTTTTAATTTATCCAATGGTAAATAACTTCCAAAAGAGAACATAATGTTCTCATGTTTTTCATGAAAATAATCTATAATTTGCTATCAGTACACACATTCTTCAAAATACATTTTTATGGCTCTATTTTATTCTTTTCTATTTTCCCAGAGACTGAAATTCCATGTAGTGAACCGAAAGTTTCTCAATGACTTTTACCCCTCAGTGAACGGAAGCAGCTCTGTCAGCATTTGTGGAATTAAAATGGATCAGCTGTCATGCCGAGAGCTCAATGAGATTGGTGTTTGCAATGGATGGAATTTGGCCCTAAACGAGATAGTATATGGGCAGATATTAAGTCTTTAATGAAAATGTGCGAAGTTTGACTGCCCTTTGCAATAGCCAGACAGCATAATCCAGTTAGAAAAAAAGCAATAAAAATTATTTGAATGAAGTTTACCGCAGGTAACAAAAAGCCCAGCTAAATGGAGTGAAGCATTTTTCTCAGCAGTTCTGGATGAAAGGGGTTGTTGATGGGTGACAGTAATTTTGGGGACAGTAACGGTGAGCAACTTTCCTGTCTACTTAAAGACATGAGTAATAACAGGGGAGACAGCACGCTGGACGCCCAGTGAAGTGGGAGTGGGTAATAGAGGCCGGATTCATGTAACGGAAATAACATGCACCTGCTCAAGGTAAGAGGGTACCTGTTCCCCACATCAGCTGATTCTCTGAAGTCTGGGACAGAGGTGGCTCCATATCAGGTGGTATTTTCAATGTCTAAAATTTTTAGAAAGGGATTTATATCTTTTATATCTTAGAAACTCCTATAAATCACTGAGAAAAATATAAAACTCCCAATAGAAAAATTGCCAAAGGTATGGGTAGGCCATTCTGAGAACAGAAATGCAGGACTAGCATCATACAAAGAAGTGGTCAGACCCATTAGCTGTTAGAGAAACACAAATGCAAAAGGGAAAGAAGAAGAGGGCGTTCTCCAGCTTTCTAGATTGTTGCCATTTTTAGTATGGTAGTATAAATTAATCTCTCCCTCACCTCTCTCTCTCTCTTCCTGATAAACTCCCAGTTTTATTTACTTTTTCTTAAGTTGTCACCAGCATCTTTATGGTAAACACTTAGGGCATTTCGAAAGGGAAAGAAAAGAGATTGGAATCTCTTTACATTGCTAGACTGGGAACATTACTGGATAATGCCATAAGGAGATATTCGGATATAGGAGAAAGCCGTATGAACTTTTATGTGGAGTTGTAGACTTATACAGTGATTCTGAAGAACTCTCTGCTGGTATTTAAATATATAAAATAAAAAAAATATATAGTACTCCATGTCTCAGCAATCATAATTCCTGGTACGTAATCCTATGAAGTGAACACACAGGTCTTTGAAGGGACATGTTCAAGAATTTCCAATGCTGGAAGGAAATAGGGGGAAAACTGGGTGTCTATTCCCATAGAAGTGGGGTGGTGTTCCATGTCTCATTCAGAAGCAACAAACTGGATGTGCATATGGAAAAGTGGAGCATTTCATTAATTTTGAGCTGATTAGAAAATTGCCAGACAGAATCAAATCCCCAGTAACGTAACGTTTATGTGATTTGAGATACGTTCATACGTGGCTGGAGTTGATATATCCTGAGAAGTCTGTACTATTTCCTGGGATTTTAAACAAAAGCTTAGAAAGAGCCAGGCTGTATTGTACTACTGTGCAATATGTCCAAGTGGTAAAAAACCACTTGTACCCCTTGAATCTATTGAAATTGGAGAAACAAACTCCCAAAGAGAAAGACTCTCCCTTAACAGGGAAATAAAAACAAAACTTTAAAAAGTCTTCCACATATGAGCACAGAAAGAAATATACAGCATACCAGGAAGAATGCATTTAGAATGCCATATATAATTCAGTTTGATTCAGAAAGTAAACAAAGCATGCAAATTATTCTGTTAAAGCAATACTTATAAGTGTACTTATATACTTATGTACACTTATAAGTGTACATGAACTTATATTTCTTCTTATGTATATATGTAAACTTATGCATGCAGAAGTGTTCTTAAGATTTAAAAAAAATAAATATAAAAACTATGTGTAATAACAAAAAGAAAGAGCCAGGCTGATATTTATGAGTGTGGTGGAATGATGACAACAGAATTTGCAAACTCTAGTGACCATCTTATTCTCACCCCGAGGACTGGAACAAAAAGAGACAGTGCCCAGGGAAGGGCAAGCCTGAAGCAGCCAGAATTGAAGAGAAATGAGAGCTGGAGAGACAGTTGCTCCAGAGCCTGGCCCAAGTGGGGCTTTTGCAGAATTGCCTGCCCATCACTTCCTGACTCCTGCTAAACACCCTGTAGCCTTGTGTTAAATCCCATGTTGGCTGAAGCTAGCTCCAGTTAATTTCTGTTACTTCCTTCCAACCTAGCACATCACCTGCTTCCTGAGTTGGGTCCGTGATGAGTTTGTGCGCTAGGAGGAACTGACATTTCAGCGCTGTGGATGGACTGCTGGCACAGAAGTACAGTGCCGAGTCTCCGGGTTCAGAGGACAGGATTTCCAGTCTGCAGGGTGAGTCTGGGGGGCATTTAGATGAGAATCGCTTCTTGTGCATCTCTGTTTGATCAAAAAGTTCCTTGTTCTCAAAGTAAACCAAAAACTCCAACTCTTTATTCTGGCTCTGTTGATACCAGTAAAGAGAATTATGTCCTTGTTGGGGGGTACAATCCATGCTCGCTTTCTGTCCTTTCTCCTTGATCAGATGTCCTGGCGTCTGGGTAACTTTGGCATCGTAAGAACCTGTAAGAGAAGGACACAGAAGCTATGGACAAAGTCCAGGACGGACACCGATGAGGGAAAAGGCTTGGAGCTGCGGGTTGGCAAACACAGGACAGGGATTCTCCTTTTGTGCTCAGGACTCACCTGCGGCCAGGAGGCAAAGGGCTGCACAGCAGAGGAGCCTGGTGCCCATGGTCGCATCGGAGTAGCAAAAGGATGAGGGTTTTTCATCCCCCCATATGCAACCTTCTTGTGACGTGATCCCTTTGCAGACTCATAATTGTCCTGTTGCTGCTTCATGTCACTGAGCAAAAATACTTCCTGGTATCAGAAGGAAAGTTTTTATCCGAACTCCATAAATATAACATTTATATTATATTCATTTAAAAATATTTTATATCTGTTTCTACTAACATAAACAATACATATATGTTTTAGAAAGTTAGAAAATAAACGAAATAACAAAATAAAAACAACAGACTACTGCCAGACAGTGGTTATCACTGTTAAGACCCTAGTGATAGTCTTTCTAGATCTTTCTCTCTAGACCTCTCTTTCTGTCTCTCTGTATATGAATGTGTACATAGACATATTCTTTTTGATTAAAACATATACTTTAAATTCTGTTTCATTACTTTTTAAAAATTAATGATCGTCATCCTTTCCTGTCAATGCATTTTCATCTAATCTACTATTCAGTTTTTATATGAAGTTTCATAGTTGTCTCAAAAGTGTCCTTTACTGTTAGTTTGAAGATCAGTTTCCAACTCAAGACCAGGCATCATTCCTGGCTGTTAAGTAGCAGGTGCTTGTTGTTGTTCATATGATTCTGAGACTAGCCACTGCTTTGCAAAATATTTCTTCTTCTGGTTATTTCTGGTGTATTTTAGCTTGTTGATTTACCAGTGTTTATTTTAGATTACCTGTCTTTTTCTTCCTTGTTTTTTCTATCACTATTAATTTTAAATAGTGCACTTCTTTTTTCAGGATGTTTTGTGCCTACTTCTTCTTCTTCTTCTTCCCATCCCTATTCTAGGTAAGTAATGTTAACAGCTTAATGAGTATCTACCCGTAGATTTCTCCTCTCTTATTCAGTTGTTTCATGAGGTTGTTTTTTCCACGTTACAAAACTAGCTTCGAATATATAGATGAGAATTTGATAACATAGCAACAAAATGAACACTTGAACATACTGGAAACAAAATATTACCAGAATCTTTGAAATCTCTTGTTTCTTTTCCCACATCCCATGCCCCTTGTTTTCCAAGTCCATTGAGGTGTTTGTTTTTATCTTTATGTGCTTCTCCTTGTATTTTAACACATAGAGCAATAAATGTGAAACGGTGTTTAGTTTTACATGCTTTTAAACTTTACACAGATGGCACAATGCTGCACATGTCTTCTGCAAAGTAATTTTTCATTCGCATTTGTGAAATTTAGTCATGTTTGTGTGTTCAGCTTTAGTTCATTATCACTGCTGTGTAATTTCTTCAGAGTTATAAACCATCATTTATTTATCCATTCTTCTATTAGAGTACATTTAGATTATTTTTTTTCTATTACAGATAGTGTTGCCCTGAATATTTTTGTTCTGGTTTTCACATATAAGTATTTTTCTAGAAAAGCATTTCTTAAGGGTGAAATTGATGGGTTACACACATCTTGAACTTTACTAGACAATGCCAAATTGTTTCCCAAAGTAAATCCACCAATACACTAGGGTATTGATTGGATTTTGGCTGGGATTGAGTTGGGCTATATTTCACGATAAGTGTCCAATTACATTCATTTTTCTTTATACAGATCCCCAATTTCTATTTGTTTAAAAATCTATTCTTTGATTTCTGCAGTGCCACTTCTGTGAATGTGCATATGTGTTTTTCTGTGGGTCTGTTTATATACCACTGAGCCTATGCTGCACTACATTTATTATGGTGGTTTTATAAATATTCTCGATGTTTGTTAGATTGAGTCCTCCCAGTTGGAGCTTCTTCATCAAGAGTGCTTTAGCTATTTTCTTGACCTTTTGCAGCTTCGTGTAAATTTTACATTTAGCTTATCAAGTTCTATCATTCATCTATTGGGATTTTTATTGGATTACATTACATGTATGAATCAATTTGGGAAAACTGATTTTTTAAAACATTGACTCTATCCAACCTCTAAAGAGAGGAGATACTTTAAGTCTTCTTTATTGACTATCAACAAGGCTTTATAATTTTTTGCACGTCTTTTCTCAATTTATTCCTAGGTCATGTCTATTTGGTATCTTTAGTTGATTTAATTTCTATAGCTGTTGCTGGTATATAGCTATACAAGTCTGAAATATCAGAGTTGCGTATACCTCAATCCCATGAAATATACCTGATCGGTAAAGGTATTGGTGTTTCCAATCACTTCCTAAGGACCTCTTCTCAGAGCAAAATTTTAAATGCATGAACTAGAATACATAGTATTACAAAGAAAACCAATTATTTTGAAATGCAGATGTCACTTTTCAAAATTTATGATGTATTAATTTATGTATGTCTTTAAATTTCATTAAATAAAACATATCCTGAAAAATGTCATGATTTCAAAGTAGTGCTGAAAGTAAATTATATTTGCTACATATAATGTGATATGAAAATATCTGACATTCATATCACATTGTAATCTATGCAACATGTGTGCAAATATCTGCGATATCTATTACTGACTTGTCACCGATATTACTAAAACTGCTGTGGTTTATTCATTATACTGTAGAAAGAAACACTATGTTTCAGTTAGAGATTAGTAAAAATAAAGATATATTTTTCTATTCAAATTCATGGATTCCTGGTTTTTATGTATGTACTCCATGGAGGTCCATGGCTTCCAAGTAAAGATTTCTTCCTCAGTGCCATAGTGCTTTATACGTGTTAGGAAGTTCATGTATCCTCAGAAATACTTTTGCCACATGCACAATTTGTAGATTTGTCAAAGGTGTCAAAGAAAAAAAATTAAACTACCTCTTTAGAATGATTTATGGACTTGAATTATGACAGGTACTTACTATGATAGTACTCATGTCCTGGAAACATGATACAATTTCTATAATCTATCTTCCTATATACTGTCTCCATTATCAGTTACATTCAGCATCATCTATGTTTTGTTTTTTTTTAACTTTAGGATATTACGAGGGTATAAACATTTTGGTTACATGTAATGCCTTTGCCTCACCCCAGCCAGGGCTACAAGCATGCCCTTCCCACATACAGTGTGCTCTGCCTCCATTAGTTGTGAGTTTACCCCACTCCCATCCCCCTACCTGACCAGCACCCAATGAATATATTACTACCATGTGAGCACCTTAGTGTTGATCAGTTAGTACCAATTTGATGGCAAGTACATGTGGTGCATGTTTTTCCATTCTTGTGATACCTCACTTCAAAGGATGGGCTCAAGCTCTCTCCAGGATAATATAAGAGGTGCTAGTTCGCCATTGTTTTTTGTAATTGAGTGGTATTCCATGGTATACATATACCACATTTTATTAATCCACTCATGTATTGATGGACACTTGGGTTGTTTCCACATCTTTGCAATTGTGAATTGTGCTGCTATAAACATTCAAGTGCAGATGTCTTTTTTATAGAGTGTCTTTTTTTCCTTTGGGTAAAATGCCTAGTAGTGGGATTGCTGGAGTCATACACACAAGCGTGATCATTACCCATGTTATCATCATCATTATCATCATTATCATGTATGTTTGATTCTTGAGTGACATTATTGAAATAGAAAACAATAGGGACATAATAATATAAAAGTATATGCTCCCTCTTGCATGAAAAAATGAGCTTTATGCTAAGAAACCCCATAATCAGAAACAATATCTCTAAAATGGAATTACAAAAATATCTACTCATCCTATAGTTTAAAATAATCCTCTACAATAATATCATGTGTTACTAATTCTGAGAAACCTCAGGTCCCAGTAATGGTAATAGATACACTATTCTTATTGGCAGATTTTTGGACAATTCCACTGGAAACAAGATCTTTGTTGTATGCACTGTTAAATAGTGCCGTATTTCATAGATAAAGGAGTAAATAATGAAAAAGGTTATATCATTAAACATGTTTTCCCATATTGCAACAGATTGCACAGTCTGTTGCCATTTCATGCCTCCAACATAGTAATTCTTTATCTGAATGCATACATATATATATATATATATACATATTAAAATAACAAGCTATTTTTTAGAGCAGTTTTAAGTCCACAGCAAAACTGAGCAGCAACTAGAGTTCCCATATATCCCCTGTCCCCACATGTACAACCTCCCTCACGATTAACATCCCGTTAATAGAATCATGGACCTGATGGATTTGGTCAGTGGAAGGAATGCAGACTCCACCAGCAGAGCTGCAATGCCAGAATTCTTCACTCCAATTCATGTGCTTGACTATAAGACACTCCCTTTAATTATTCCTAACTCAGGTTTACTTCCATAAGCAAAATATGCCTCTTCTTAAAGTGCACCTTGCAGAAGTTTCACACCTTTTCCGATATTTTTGAACGAGCATATTTTACATTAAAGCAGAGCAGTACGAACACTCAGTTGGCTCCCATGGTAATTGAGGCTGATGTTGTCAGCTCACGCAGGGTAGCTCCAGACCACATGTGACTTTCTGCAGAAAGCACTTTTATGTAATATGCTGAGGTAGAGACATCAATTGAGGAATGTAAAGACCAGATTGAATTAGGCTGATGTGAAATCTTGGCAGAAAATATTTCAATAAGTTAATTCCTTATGAGCTTTAAAAAAGTACATTTATGATAATTTTATTAAAATTAACTTAGGAAAAACAAGAAAGATTTAGCAAAATATATGTAAGACCCGTATCATATAAACTATAAAACTGTGTGGAGAGAAATTAACGAAGATCTCAATAAAGAGACATGGGGGAACTTTTTGAGATGATGGGAATATTTGGTATCTTGATTATCATGGTGGTTGCAAGGGTGTAAAAATTTGTTAAAATCTGTTGAAATGTGCACTTAAAATAGGGTGCATTTTATTGCATCTATTGCATATGTTTATTGCATGAATACTGCATAAGTATCTTATGCCTCAATAAAGTTGCATTGAAAGTTGCATGATTGTAGTATTTCAGAGGGCAGGAGTTGCTGACAGTTTCCTCTGAGTTTCAATGGCAGGGACAGCAGGGAGAAGAAATCAAAAAACCCATAAAGAGTCTCTGGATCCTGCTCAAGAAAATGTGCTGGGTCAGGTGATCAGGGTCCACCTGAAAGACACAGTTGATTTGCTCTTCATCTTTATTTCTGAATGCATAGCTTTACCAGGTGAAAAAGCACAAAATCATGTATTTTTTTGTAAAGATTGCTAGAAATTCATAAAGTTCCAATAAAAGAGACAGAGGGAAGGTAATCTAACATATCTCGACTAATACCCTGCACATTGCCTTTCATCCTTCTTGGATTCCATCACCGTCAGCTATTGTAAGTACCCACCCACCTCCCTTTTTGCTCACCCAGAGCTATTATTTACCAATGTTTCCATCTAGTTTATTCTTTTTCAAGTTGAGCTTCTGTTAGTTCCCACCAACCTAATATGCCACTTATTTCCTGAGCTAGGTCCATAATGAGTTTGTGTTCTAAGAAGAGCTAAGATTCAGCACTGTGGACTGGCTGCTGGCACAGAAATACAGTGCTGAGTCCCCTGACTCAGTGGACTGGATCTCCAAGATACAGGGTGAGTTTTTGGGGCATTGGGCTGAAAATCGATTATTGATTATTTCTTCTTTTTCGATAATGTCTTCATCCTGAAGATAAACCAAAAACTTGAGCCCTTCTTCCAGCTTCTTTTGGTACCAATAAACATAACTATGTCCTTTTTTAGGGACACAATCCATCTTGGTTTTCTGCTCCTTTCCTTTGACCAGATATCTAGGACTCTGGGTGACCTCAGTGTCCATGGAGCCTGTGGAGGAAGGAGACAGAAGCTGTGTACAAAGCCCAGGGGGATGTCTGATATTGCAGCCACAGGAGAAAGTCCTCAAACCGGAGTTCAACCAGTTCCGAACAGGGACTTACCTGTTCCCCAGAAGAAAAGGGTCACATAGCAGACAAGTCTGAGGCACATGGTTGGCACAGGGGAAAGAGTGGCTGGCGTGTGGCCTTTTCTGTAAGACTCATCCCCCACCAACAAACTCCCTGTGACACGATCACTTCCCAGAGCCTTCATAGGTGCCGTGCTCGTGGGACAAAAGCATTTCATAGGGTGTGGGAGGGCAGGCTTGTTGTAGCTGGCGAAAGCAATTAGTGTGAGTTTCAGCCTGCTTTTATTTTCTTCTTTTGTGACTCACTCTTTTGCTATTTTTTAAATAAAATCACTTACACATTATTCATCTATTCGCTTTTCTAAACTTGTCAATTCACCTCCCCCCCTCCTCCCTTGCACCTCAGGTCATGACTCATAGAACTCAGTGCTCAACAATCGGAGCTTTTGCCACACTTATAAAAACACACAGCAGCTACTTTACATTAAGTGTTGAACTACACAAAACAATAATTATGACAAATATGCAATGCACATAGAGAAATAATAAAATGAATATAACTTTGCTTGAGCCAATTAGCTTAAGAGCTGGAGTATTGTTGAGAATTTTTCAGCCTAGGTATGGTCTTAGAGTCCTTTGTTCTTTCCCTCTCATGTCTAGATAGCAGTGACCCCGAAGTTTAGATTAATCATTCACTTGCTTTTCATGCCAGTTTTTAGTATTTATATAATAATCTGTAAATTATAGGTTATTTAATGCTGTATATCTTTGAAATTCATCTAAGGGAAATCATTCTGTTTATTTCTGTTATTTTTCTTTCATAATTATGTCTGTGGTATTAATTCATGTTGACACATATAATCCAGAAAATGTATTTTTACCAACATTTAATATTACATTATATTAATTGGCCAGAATTTATTATTCATTCTTGAATTAATGCCCACTCTTTTTTTCTGAGTATTTTTGCTATTGCAAACAGTATTGCATTCTTGTATATGTCTCTGCATACCTAGGCATAAGATTTTTTTCTGTACCTGGAAACCTAAAGACTGGGTCTTATGGTTAATATCAACTTTACGTAATATGACAAAATGCTTTCCAAAGTGATTAAGCCCAATACTTAATCAATACAAAGATCCAAACAATAGTTCATGCGTGTTTTCAAATGCTCCACATTTGTGACTACATTTGGTATTTAATATTCTTTTAATTTGACATTCTATTAGGTTAAAATTATACATCATGGTACAATATAGTTTTAGTTTACATTTTTTCTGGTTGCTACGAAGGTTAAACTTTCTTTTTTCACTTATAGGTCACCAGTGTTTTCTATAAACTGCTCTTTGCCCACATTTATTTTTGGTTAATTAGCTATTATTTATCTGTAACAATCCTTTATATATTTTGGATACTAAACCTTTGTCAGCTGTTTGTGTTGCTAATATGTTTCCAATTTGTGGCTTGCGTTTTCACTCTCTTTGATGTGTTTTTTGTTGGATTTCTTAATTTAGTGGAATATATGCTTCTTTTATTTTGGTATAAATTTTCTTATTCTTCATAAGAAATTTTCCCATAACCCAAGTTCTTGGAGATATACTCCTATATTACTTATCAAAACCCTGAATTCAAAACATTTGGATTTTGCATTTAAGTATTTAACCCACTTGTGATTTATTTTGGCTTGTGTTGTGAGAAAAGGTGTAAATTCATCTCTCCTTGGATAGACAAACACCTGTCCCAGAGTAATTTATTGTACATCATCTCTCCATATATCTGCAATGACAGCTCTGTCATATATCAAATTCCTATTATTCACGGGCCTATTTTTCATCTTATTACTATTTTCCATTTGCCTATTTATTTATACTTCTTTTATTATCCTAAATTATAAAGTAATTTAATAATTAGTAGGGCAAGTCACCTCACTTTATACTTTTTCAATATTTTCTTGCCTATTCTTGTCCCTCTTTTCCACTTAATTTTATTTATAGATTGTTTTGTCAAATTTCACAAAAAATATCTTTGTATTTTGATTAGTGTTGTATTGAATATACAGATGATGCTGCAGAAACTGAAATACTCCTACTATGAGGTTCACTTATTCATGATCATCATATGTATCTCTACTCATTTCAAACTTTTAAGATGCATTCCTCTAAAACTTTAATAATTTAATGCATTAGAGTTTTGCTTATCTTCTGGTAGATTTGTTCTTAGGCGTTTTATATTTTATATTTTGTTACTATTAGTAAATGGTCTCTCTTTTTAAAGAATATACATTTTAGCTGTTTCTTGCTAATATGTGGAAATAAAATTTTTATATTTATGTTGAATTCAGCAAACTAACTTTTGTGTTTAGTAATGCAATGCTTCTTTAGAGTCTTTTGGATCTTTGTGAATAAACTTATCTTTTGCCAGTTACTTCTTTTTCCTTGCTTTCTCATTCCTACACTTTTTACCCTTGTTCCAACTGGCTGAAAATTCATTACAATGTTGAACAGAAATCATGCTGTCATTCATTTATTTATTTACTAATTATGTGGACATTGGGCAGCTACAGTAGTCCAACTACAGTAGGAGGTAGTGGTAAATGCTATGGGGATTACAAAATGTAAGGTTAGATCCTGCTATTTCTAGGACCGATTGCCCTCCCAAGATGTCTGCAAATTATTCTTCCAATCAGCACCTAAGTGTCTCACCTGAGTGTCTCACCTGAAGCATCTGAGGCATCTAACAACTGTCTTCAGGTGAAGAAGATCTGCCTGCCCTGTCTGTGCCATAGGTATTTCACAGAAAGACCCACATTGCCCCCTGGTGGTCAAAGGTGCGAATTCGTCCGATGCCCGCTGGTCTCACTGCCTTTGTGCCCCAGAGGTGAGTGGGGAGTTGTGGGCTCGCACAGGGCAAAGGGCATCTCAAGTGCCAGAGCTGAATTAGGGAAAAGCAGCCTTCGGTGTGGTAGCCTGCGGCATAAGGCACAGAAATGTTACTGGTAATTAGTTCCACAATGACTCAGTCTTTAATACTGATAATGGTTTACCAGTGTAATTTGACTTCTCAACCTTTCCTAGTCTCTGTTCAAGGTGAGCGAGCTTCTTCAATCTCTATCCTAAGTTCTATGTTCTTTTCATTGTATAGTTCATCACCCAGGGGTGGTACGACTTTCATTCTTCCAGTTATGCTAAATTTCCCAAGTGCTTACCTCTTATCCAGAGCCATTTTCCAAGTCCGTGACTTGTACATCCAACTGCCTTCTGCATATTTCCAGTAAGATTTCTGTCTCAAAGGCACCGCCAATGTCAATGTAAATAATTATCTTCTTCCCACGTGGTCCGCATCCACCTGGTTGCAGTGGTTGTCTTTTATCCCCCGTCAGCTGCTGCTCATAGCTAATCAATTGCCAAGTCCTTTGATTTGCTTCCTAAACACCTTTTAAATCCCTCATTTCCCTTATTTTTGTGGCCATCATCATTATCTGAGCTACACCACTTCTTGCTTTAGTTGCTTCAGGGGTAACTTCTTTCTAGTCACCAACTCTCTCCAGCTAACCAAATGATCACCTTCAGACACCTGAGATCTTGTATGTTCTGTAGAAATTAGGTTGAGACTCCTATAAACCAGTTCCAGAACTTATTTTTGTGGGATATTGAATTACAATGCCAGTTGACCCCAAACTTGCAAATCTTTTGTGTGTAAGGTGGGGTATTGAGTAAGAAATGGACACTCGGAGTGGGGACATCTCAGGATATGGAGGATTTAAAGGACCCTGGCTGCCTGCAAACCTCTGAAACTTTCATCATGGCATCTCCACTTATGGAAAACATGGAGCCTGCATTGAGAGAGAGAGAGAGAGAGAGAGAGGGGAGGGGAGGGGAGGGGAGGAGAGGGGAGGAGAGGAGAGGAGAGGGAGAATGCGTGTGTGTGTGTGTGTGTGTGTGTGTGTGTGTGTGTGTGTGTGTTGTGGAGGGGGAGGTCAGAACCTTACCCATCATTGCCTTTCAGCGGTGAACTTGGTTTCAAATGGAACATAACCCAGAGAGTAAAATATAGAACCACAGCACAGAAAGAAAATGTTACACTTAAAAAAAAAATTGCTCATCAAAAATTGTGTCATCAAAATCTTACAGGAAATAGTATAGGATTTTTTTATTTTTTACTTTTTGATGGTGCTTGTCGCAGGATGACAGAACACAAATTTGGACTGAATTATAGTCAATGCTATTCAAAGCTATTACCCTATTTTCCTAAGGTAATGCATGGAGATAGAAGGCTGTGTCTCTAATAGCCGTCTGGATTGGGAAAGGCAAGTCTGAACACGGCACCCATCCATGCTAACTGCTGTTAAGCTTAACATAGAGGGAAATAAATGACTGCATGAGATAGGAATGATACCACTTTCTCTGTGTTTCATGCTAGAGCCTTAAACACTCTTATCTTTCCCTTGCTGCTGGTGAAGGAAGCAGTGGAATATTTAAAAAGTATTTCACTGGCTCTCTTCTCCAGGCTGAAAATACGGACAAAGTAGGAAGCTACGGACAATAGGAAGCTGCAACTAAAATGGGTCCCTGGATTCAGTGGCAATGACACAGTGTGAAGTGACTGAACCCAGGAGGTGCATTTTTAATCACCAGTAACCCAGGGACTTGGCCACCATGTAGATATAATGTGGCATCATGACCATTGCTGAATTGGTCCCCATCTTGTTCTGGTCAGCTCCACGTTGGCCAGGGCCAAGGTCTCATCTCCATGCCTTCATTTCCACACTTGGTGTCTCAGTCCCCTGCTCTCTGCCACAAAGGGATTCACCAGGGTCCAGGTCCATTGTTGGTAGATTGTTCACTGTGAATGATTCCTACATGAGGATGGCAGAGGCTGAGCCACTGCTATTTCACTCCCTGGTTCTCACTACACAATGCTCTCCATCCTTCTCCTTCAAGAATTCTAATCCCATCATTTATTTGTTTCACATTTTTCTCCCTTTTGATTTAATATGCATAATATTTGATTAATCTTAACTGTGGTTCACAACACACAGGAGTTGCTTATCAATAAATGGTTATTTAAGAATATAATAGGTACTTGTGAAACATCTCCTCGACAATACGTGAGATAGACTGTGATAATATTTAAATTTATAGCTATGTGATTTTCTCTCATTCCATCTCTTGCCACTCCCCAGCTTTATAAAAATCCTAAACTTGGGTCACTATCATTCCCTGCCATTCCCCTGTGTGTTGGTAAATGTTTGACAGCTAGCTTGCTGGAGGAAAATATGGCAACCCTGATTTGTCATGTTTGCTAATTCCTGTGGTGTAAATACTCCCACCACGGCCTATTTCAAGCTATTAAAATGATGTCACCAAAATTTGAGTTGGGAAAGATATGCACACTTGGCTCTCATGACCTGGTAAAAGCCAGCTCCAGTACACAACGGTTCCTTGCTTCCTTTCTAATATGATTTTATATATTTGTAGTTCTGAAAATTATTTTCTTGCTTTAGCTATTTTTAGCTTTATAAAAAGCATCTCATGCTTTACATAATCTCATCAGGCTTAGTTTTTGCATTTTATGTCATTATATATTGCTAAGATTCACACATAACATTGCTTGTTACTCTAGTACATTTGTAGTTTGACTGATGTATATAGTTACCCATCCTATGAATAGACCACAGTTTATTCATTCACTTTTGTCAGTGCATATTTGGCTTGGTTCCATGTTTTTCAGTTGTGAATGGTGCTGCTAAGAACACTTTGTATTTACATCTTCTTATGTGCATATGCAAGAGCTTCTCCTGATATAAACCTAGGGGTGGAATTACTGGGTCCTGGAATATAGGAACATTCAACTACATGAGATAATGCTGAGCCGTCCCCATGTGGTTTGTATTACTTATGTTCCCAGGAATTTACAAGTAATCCTGTGGATCTATACCCTCTCTAACATTTTACATCTCTAAACTTTTTATATTTTGTGAACCAAATGGATATAAAATTATGTATCATCATGTCTTGTTTCATGTGATCCTAATTATCAGTGAAATGAAATATCACTTTATATGTTTATTGTTCATATATGTTTCCTCTATTAAATATATGTTAATATCTTTTGCCCATTTTCCATGGGGTCTTACAGATTTGTTGTCAATGTAATTTTTTTTTTGTTTCTCCTGGGAAAGGATTTTTCTGCAGGGCCACCCCTCACTGCTGCACTTACTGTCCCCTAGCTTCAAGATGCATTGTCTGAGGTCTTCCTTCCCCTCCCTCTGCCTTCTCTTCGGCTTGACACTTTGTCAGGAGCAAACTCACCAGCACCTCTGCATGGGCACCTTGGAATTCTCTGTCCTGAGGTCTCTGGGTTGCTCCCTGCCTTTGCACCAGCCGTAGGTAGCCTGTTCATCCACCAACCAGGGCTTCCTGGAGCACATCCTTGGCTTCTTTCAGTACTATCTCCCTCTGCTTGGCTGCTCTGTGCTTCTCTGTATCTTGAGGCCTTGCATGGTGACAAGACTGTGCTGAACAGTCGTGGAGAGCCAAGTGCCAAAGTTTATCACAGAAGACACACAGCGATTTATAGAAGTGTCTTCAGATCTACCTATAGGATTATGGGTGGATTTACCCACAAACACATGATTCACATGTGGCAGAGTCAGGACAAAACTCCAGGCTTTATCATTTTCAGGGGACTTTTCCATGTCAGCTGGCCACTCTGTGGGCCCAACTCTATTCCCAACGCGTAGTGCGCAAACACGACACCTCTACACTCCACTCTCGGATTCCTTCTCTCTCTCCCTCATCTGTCTCCACGTACACACACAGACACACACCCAGAGGTCTCAGTCAGCAAAGCTGCGGTTTTCCAATCTCCCACACCCACCCCCTTGGCCCACTACAGAGGTTCTTGCCGGGGTCCCCCGCCGCCTCCGCGCGCTGTGTCACTGCCGCTGCAGATGTAGACCCCGCTGTCTTCAGGACGCGCGCTCGTCACCGTCAGGGATGAAAATGTTAGGTTGGGGTGCTTGATGGGAAACCTGTCCTCGGAGACACCTTGTTCGTAGGTGGCATCGGAGCCTGTGTTAGAAGTCGCCATGGGCACGAGGCTCTGTTTCGGGAACTGACGGTACCAAACCACAGTAGTGGCCTGAAAGTCCACGGCGCGGCACTCGATCTCCACGGAGGCGCCGCTCCTGCAGACGGCCCTGCGCGGGCGCTGGGAGACCAGGGCGCCCAGCCCGGAGCCTGCGGGGCGCGGCGGGGGACAGGGGGTCGGAGGGACCCGGTCAGACAGGGCCCCCGCAGGAAGGACCCTCAGCCTCCCTCCCTCGCCTTCCCCGGCCCCTGGGGAATCCCGGGTGTCCCGTGCGTCTTCCTGTCGTCTCCCCAAGGCCGTGATCTCCGTCCGCCCCGACAGCGGGCTCCCACCTCACCCTCCAGAGCTATAGGGAGCGCGGACGGCGCTGCCCCTCGCTGGGACGGGCACGAAGGACCCGCAGCGCCCGGTGCGGCCGCCTCCCCCGCGCCCGCACCCCGCCCGCACCCTGCCCGCACCCCCACACCCCGCCCGCACCCCGCCCGCACCCCGCCCGCACCCCCGGGCGGAGGAGGGCCCGTACCCGGCTGCAGGAGCAGCAGAAGCAGCAGCATCTTCAGCCCGGGCCTCGCTCGCGCCGCCGCTCCGAAGACAGGTGTGACCACACTGTTCCTTCGCCCCAGGGGACGGACGCCTGAAGGGGGGATCCCAAAGTTGCTCTGGCCCGCCCCCTGGTGGTGACCGTTGCCAGAGCCGCGAGACGCGTCCGTCTCCCCGCCGGTCACAGGTTGCTTAAAGAGGACTCCAGAATCCCCAATTTAATCTCCGAATTTGCAGGAGAAACCCTGAGACGCAGAGCACTGGAATGACGTAAGTGAGTTTCTCATAAGGAGAAGAGTGTGCCCGTGTGGATAGTGAGCCACACCACAGTTTGTTGCCCCTGTGCCATATCCTCAGAGTCATCACACTGAGACAGCCCGTGATTGTCAACCGCCAGACCTACAGAGTGACGCTGCCATGTGTGTCGATAATGCCCAGGCCAGGGCCTCAGCCCCAGTTCAGTGTTTCTTCGTGGTCACCATGAAGACTCTTCCCCGTCTTCTAAACCGGGTATTTACCTTGTGGCTATCTCGTGACAATTTCCCTTACATATTGATGGACTTAATTCTAAAAATATTTATTTATTTAACCTGCGTGTATTTGTGCAAATCACTGTTAGGGGTTATGAGAATAATTATTTACAGTTATTTCACTGCACTGGTGGTCGTGCTAAGTGTGGGCTAATGGAAATCGATTCTACAAAGCGTGGGGAATTCTTCCTGCTTTGAACATGCCAGGATACTTGTTTTAATGGATCGGTATTGAAAATGTATAGCAATTACAGAGAGTGGGAAAGTGTTTTTCCAAAGCACTGCACTTCTATTTTTATAACAGCCTCCTGGTTGTGCTTTCACTTAATATTTAGTTCTATTTCTTATTTCTCTGGCTTGGGTAGCTAAGAAAGGGGGGCAGGGATTAAGACTTGGCCCATCAAATTATGTTTGTGCTATGGTGAAGTCGTTTCTATCATAACAAATATGACTATGGCATTACACTGACATTAAAGTACCTATTTAAGGGCATCTTCATGCTCCTGTCATGTTTCTTTCCTGAGGGTGTTGGGCCTCATTAGAATGGGGCCGCCTCACACCGTAACTGTACTTGTTCTGAGAAGAGTAGGTGAGGATAATAAGAAGAGTAGGTAAGGTAAAGGTAACAATTTTATATAAACTGTCCTTCCTAGTCAATAGATGCAATGACTTCTCAAAGCATGCTAAGAAAACATATAGTGATATTTCCATTTTTTAAGTTTCTTGGCTTTCACTTCAGATAATATCTCTCTCACATCTTGATTGAAGAGAATGGAGGTTACAATGAAACTTCCCAGCTACAGAGTTCTTTTTAATATTAGGATTACCCTAAAAAAGCAAATGGTTCCATAGTTTTACAGTGGAATTTCTGAAGTCTATTTAAGTCTATATGCTTTGCTTTATAACTTCCTCAACAGAAAGGAGGGAGTTTGTGTCCTTTCTAGTCATGCCCAAGATAAAAAGGAAACATAGATTGTCTATCTCTTACTGTCTCCCTTTTATTTTCTTCCTTTCATGGGACAGAGAGTCTTACCCTACTCCATCCCCTCTGGGGAATGGCTGTGCAAAGGTAGCAGAAAACTAACTCTACGGGGCTGTGTCTCTCCCACTGCCACCATGGATCCTGACTCCATCACCTGGCTCTGGGAATGATCGGTATGGAGGTGTCTCTGAACGTGGTCTGGACATTCAGACTGAAGAGTCCTGCAACCATCCCATCTCCAATGGCTTTCTTACTATTGTCACAGAACATTAGTTTCAATGATAGCTCAGAGTTCTTATTATATGTATTCCAATGTGCTTTAGATCCTATTCACAGAGTTGTGTCTGTTTCCCATCTCCATGTCTCAGTATTTTGGTCTCTGTATGACTCTATGAATCAAGCTTCCAAAGAATATGCAGAAGAAACCCAAAGCTAAACATGGAATCTGGGAAGGAACTCACAGAGAAGACATGGAGCCAGGGCTGGCCTTTTCTAGACAGGGATCTCCACATTTTTCCAGACATTCCTTGTCCCAGGAGACAAAGGGCCACACACAGCAGGACAGACTAGGGGCTTTGATACTTCTGACAATATATTTTTTTAAATTGTTTCTACTAGTAGTTTAAGTTTCCTTTCCAATATCTTTAAAAAATGTTTCTACTAGTAGTTTTAGTTGTATGCAGAGAATAATGTGGACTGTCATTTATTTATAGAAACAGAATTGTGATCAAATAAATATTTGTAAATAATTCACACCAGTTGTCTTCTAATTCAATGGATATGTGCAGAGCATAAAGAGAGAAAATATGCGGAAGACATAAAGATCATTTGGAAAGTTTTACTTAGCACCTGCCTGCTGATCTGTCACTCAAATGCTTCTTTTAACCCAAACTCTCTGTTCTGAGTGCCAGACATGAATTTACACAAGCCTCCTGGATATTTCTATGCAGACACCCAAGGAAGGCCCCCTAGAACTGGGAACTCAATTTTATTCAATAACTTTACTCCATTAATTCTGCCCAATTTCCTCCCATTGCCATACTCCAGCGGGAGCGGGAGTTTGAGCCTGCTTTTCCTGAGACTGCCTCATCACTCTTCCCTTTCCTAGTCCCTGAAGCCTGTCTCACTCTTTTGGTGCCCGCCCATCTGGTGAAATCCTCCTTGCCCATCTGGTGAAACTTGGGTTCTAAGTTTCATCCCCAGATTTGCCTTCTCTTTGACGCCCTTCCTGATGTCACCAGACTGAACTGGCCACGTTCCTTCCTTTGCTCCACTAACATCTCAGATTAAAAGGGCACACCATACGATGTTGTGATTACAGTATTTGTCGTCTACACTTTTCTCTCTCAACTAGGATGTCCCTTCCGAAGGTAGGGACAATTTTCTGTTCATTTTTGTTTTCTAGTGTTCGGTAAATCAGAAAAAAGTTTGGGGTTGTAATATTAACCTCTTTCATCTCTCTTCTCTCATTCTCCCCCTCTCCCTTCCCCCCATATATATACCTTATTAATATTTATATAACATATATATAATTTTTAAACCAACTTAGTGACTGAGTGACGTTTCCTGCCACCCCACAGAGCCTACAGATGACAGCAGCTTTGGACGCCTGGCCGGGGCGGGAGGAAGGGGGGGGCGGGATGTGAGGAGAGCACGCCCCTGGGAGAGGCAGCAGGGCTGGGCACATTTACGCACAGAGAGGGCGGCTGTGCCTCACTGTGTGTGCGCTGGCGCAGACAGACAGCCGTCTGGTTCCTCTGGGGCAATGTCACAGTGAGAGGGAACTGTGCCTTCCTGTCCCTAGAGGTGCTGTAGCCGTGGGCCATGTCTCCTTCCAGGACCTGACTTACCAGCTGCGAGTGGTAGATCAGTCTCAACCCTTGCCCTGGGTCTTGTCGGTCGGTACCAGTACATGGCATTATGATCCAAATTCTGCTCACATTCCAGGGTCACCTTCCGTCCTTCCTTTGTGAACAGGTATTTGGGGGTCTGACTGATTCCACCATCCGTGGCTCCTGGGGAGGAAAGAGAAAGATGCTGGAAACAGCCCAGGGAGACGCCTGATGCCGTTTTCACTGGGGAGAGGCTTCCATCTGGAGCTTGGCACTTTCCGACAGGAATTTGCTCCCTGAACCTCGGACCCACGGGCTCCCAGGAGACAAAGGGCCACACAGCAGAACACCTGGCTGCTCATAGCAGGAAGGTGTTCTCTCCTGTGGCTGCAAGCACTCGTTGGATGGCAATGAGATCAGAAGCTTAGTTCTGCAGCTCCCCCTGGCCTAAAATGTGGAGTTTGTCAGAAAGCTGTGATGAATGGTTGGAGGATCCTAGAGGTATTGCAGATGAGCCCCCCAAGTCTTGCAGATGAGGAAACAGGCCGGAGAGCTGAGTCACTGGCACCTCCCATAACTCTGGTAGCTTCTGGGCTGAGGGGACTGGCACCCCACGGGTCTGGGCCAGAGTATCACTGCAACTGGTCCTTTGGTTCTCATCCGTCCAGTGATGGTAATTCTTGGGTTACAGAGCACTGCAGACACTCTGGTCATACAGGGGTGCAGAATTCATTTGTCATGCCTTCAATCCTCGCAGGGATGGAGCGACTCAAGAGGTCTGTTCAGAGGTGTCCCTTGCAGCCGTCCTGCTGCACAGAGCAAAGCTGCTGCTGTCCCAGGTCCCTCACACAACCACGCCGAGGCCACATAAAGAGTATATTTAGTAAGTCTGTAGAATGTGTTATATTGTTAGTAGATTGGTAAGATCATCAATAAGATTGGTAACCATACAAATTAGATAATACATACTCTTATTCACAAGGCTAACTTTAGAAAATATACTCTTTTTTTCCCTGGTATTGATGCTAGAACATTTGAATCTTTTTAGGTTGAGGTGTCATATTTTTCTTTAAAATTGGGATATAATTCATATGCCATAAAATCTATTCTTTCAAAGTCTATAATTCAGCGTTTTTCAGTATGTTCACAAAGCAGTGAAACCATCACCACTATCTAATTACAGAGCATTTTCATCACCCTAGGAAGAAATCCTATATCATTAGAACTTATTTCACATTCATTCCTCCCATGACAACCATTAATCTATTTTCTGTCTATAAGGATTTTACTATTCTGGACATTTTATGTAAATAGAATCATACAATATTTTGCCTTTTGTGTCTTGCTTCTATTAGTTAGTGTATGTTTTTCAATGTTCATCCATTGGGTAGCATGAATCAGTGCTTTGTTCCTTTGTAGGACTGATCTCATTTCATGAATATACCATATTTTGTTGATCCACTCATCAATTGATGGACATTTCCACTTCTTGGCTAATATGAATAATGCTATTATGAACACATGTAAAATTTTTTGTGTGGCATGATTTTGATTGTCTTGGGTATTTACTCAGGAGTAAAGTGGTTGAGTTATATAGTAATTCTATGTTTAATTTTTGAGTTTAACTGCCAAACTGCTTTACACAATGGCTGCAACATTGTATGTTACCATCAGCAATATATAAGGGTCCCAATTTTCCACATCTGCACCTATACTTGTTATTGCTCGTCTTTTTGTTATAGCCTATAGCCTAGTAGATGTGAAGTGATATTTCATTGTGATTTT